CATCAAAAAGGAGTTGATGGCTTACTTGGAAACCCACAACCTCTTGTCCAATGCACAATATGGTTTCCGTAGGGGAAGATCCTGTGTAACGAACTTGCTATACACAATGCAAAGTTGGACACGTGCACTGGACGCAAAACACACCGTGCATGTTGCCTATATTGATTTCCGGAAGGCGTTTGACAGTGTTCCGCACCAGCGTCTCCTACACAAGTTGAGATTTATGGGCATCAATGGGAAACTTCTCAAATGGATCGAAAATTTCCTTGTCGGCCGCTCCCAAATTGTCTGCGTAGAACAACAGCAATCAAGGTGCACATTCATAGAGAGTGGGGTCCCACAAGGCTCGGTGCTCGAACCAACTCTCTTTCTCTTGTTCATCAATGATTGCGTAGATGGGTTGGACTGTGATTGTGCCATGTTTGCGGATGACATAAAAATCTGGAAAGTCATCCAGAATGCTACCGATGAGACTAACTTCCAAGAAAATCTTTGTCGGTTGGACGAGTGGTCCCGCAGATGGCTCTTGTCCTTCAATTTGAACAAATGCACCATTCTGCGCCTCGGAAATCAGACCCCTAGTACGCGGCAATACCATCTGAACGGAATGCCACTCCGAGAAGCAGAAACTCAGAAAGATCTCGGAGTTTGGGTTGCAGACAGCCTAAAGTCTTCTGCACAATGCTGTAAGGCGGCCAAGGCCGCAACGTCAATGCTATATGCCATCAAGCGGGCATTCGTAGTTTTCGATGAAGACTGCTGCACCAAAGTCTTTGGCACGTTTATAAGGCCCCATCTCGAATATGCAATTCAGGCCTGGAGACCGTGGACGCATCAGGATTACGATCTGCTCGAAAGGGTGCAGAGGCGAGCCACAAAATTAGTAAGAGGTCAAAGTGCACTGCCATACGAGATCCGCTTAACTAACCTTAATCTCTATCCTGAGTTATAGGCAGTTGCGCAGAGACATGATACAAACTTTCCGTATCGTGCGCGGCTTGGATTGTGCCCTTCGATGTGATGACTTTTTCCAACTCACCACTACAACTCACCTCCGGGGACATCCCTTCAAGCTACGTGTGCCACAGGGTAGACTGAATGTGAGAAAATATTTCTTCTCCAATCGTGTCGTGGAACCGTGGAATAACCGGCCCGAGACGGTTGTTATGTCTCAATCTGTGG